CATTTGCTTGTGTTAGGATAAGAATTTGTCATGTCACCTTGCCTTCTCTCCTGGTGTTTCCTGTACTCCCTCGCCTTTTTTAGTTTGGTTGATTTGGAAAATTCCAGTCCATCTTAGCTAAAGTAAAAGTAAATAAACAGTCGTGAAGTGAAGCTGAGATTAAAATTTTAAGTCTGATTTGTTACTGTCTCTTCCTACCCAAAGTAATTTCTAATGAAGCCCTCTTTGCTGTCATTCTTTCTTCCCCAAGCTGCACCAAGGATGTAGTTGTTTTTCTTTTTGTTTTAGCACTGCACAAACTATAGAATCACAGCAAGATACTTAGCCTCTCCTGCCTTTTCCTTCAAATACTGAAGTACATCTCAAAATCTTTTACAACACCAGATTTCTATATATTACAGAATTTTACTGGGACAATCACATTTATCTGTAACCTATTGTTTAAGCATATATTTTAATACCTTAAAAAAAGTGACTCTAGATTCCGTCTCTAGAAAATGTCATCAGCACACTTACCTACAAACAGATGTGCTCCTAGCAACTCAAGAGTAACAATAAACAAAGGAATAGTAATTGTTTTTTTTCTTTAGTATGTGTTGCTAGTACACAAAGTCAATGAGCACAGCCAGTGGCCGCCTGAGGGAATTTGAGAACTGGCTGCCCAGGTTCTAATACCTGTATTAACCAGGCCAAGCAACACAATGCTGGCTCTATCCATTCCAGATTAATTCCCAAATAACTAAACACTTAATCTGAGCAGTTTATAACTACAAAACCATAAATTTATCTTAAAGAATTATAATCCTGAATAACAGGAGATTGGGTGGAGAGAGTAATTAGAGGAAACAAAGGGTTAACAGAGCCCAATATTTTTAAAGTGGCTATCAAGTGAGAAATAGGATTCAAAGATAAGACTGTGACTGAAGTTGCACCAGAGTAGTTTTCTGAGACTTTATCCATGTTCATTCCTCTCCCATTCACCCCAGCCCCCCACAGTCTTCTCCCACTTAGGTGAAGGCTCATGGAGAAGTAAGACCAACTTAGATGGAGAGTTCAGACAATCACATTTGAATCCCAAAGACAACTCTACAATGGATTTTTCAGTTACATGAACTAATAAATCCTTTGCTTTGGTGGGAAGGTTGAATTAAGTTCAGATTGGGTATCCCCTGATTTTATGGGTTCTGGTATGGTTACTACAATGAAACTAGAAGTATATACATTTCTCTACTCAGAACTATAAGCATTTAAATAGATTTGTTTTGGGATGCATGGGTGGCTCAGTCAGTTAAGTGTCTGCCTTTGGCTCAGGTCATGATCCCAGGTCCCAGGGATACAGCCCCAACAAGGAAGCCCACAAGGGGCTCTCTGCTCAGTGGGGAGCCTGCTTCTCCATTTCCCTCTGCCTGCCACTCCCCCTGCTTGTGCTCTCTCTCTCTGTTAAATAAATAAATACAATATTTAAAAAATAAAAATGAATAATTTGTTTTATGTAAAAATCAAGCTTGGTGGGCCACCTGGGTGGGTCAGTGGGTTGGGTATCTGCCCTCAGCTTGCGTCAGGGTCCCCAGGGTCCCGGGGTAGAGTCCCAGAACAAGCTCCCTGGCCAGCGGGGAGTCTGATTCTCCCTCTCCTTCTGCCCCTTTTCCTGCTTGTTCTCTCTCTCAAATAAATAAATAAAATCTTTAAAAAAAAAAATCAAGATTGGTTTTGACTATGAAATATAAGCATCATGTAGCGTCCGGGAAAATCTAGCAATTAAAATCAATTTTATATCCAAAGATTTAACATTTCCTTTTAAAACATCCATCTAAAAGGTTTCAAAATGCAAACTCAACAAAGTTTAACTAACAAATAAGCTGCAGTGATAAAACAGATCACTTGGGACAATGAAGTCCTCAATGTTTTCTAGAAACATAATCATTTCATTGTGTCTCTCCTCTTTGAGTTCCCATTTTGCTGAATTCTTATTAAGTCATCCTTTTTTCAAAAATTATTTTATTTATTTATTTGAGAATGAGAGAGCAGGCACAAGCAGGCAGAGAGGCAGAGGGAGAGGGAGAAGCGGGCTCCCTGCTGAGCAGAGAGCCCATGTGGGGCTTGATCCCAGGACCCTGAGATATGACCTGAGCCAAAGGCAGATGCTTGAACAACTGAGCCACCCATGCACCCCTCTTTCTATTAATGGGAAGCAAATAGAAAAAATTTTCTTCTGCTACATGAATTACATTCTCTTCCCGGATAAGTCATTAATTCTTTTGCCTTGTGTTCTAGGTACAGGGGTCCTCAGTTAGGACCACAGACTGACAGCTGCCAGTGTTACCCAGAAGCTTGTCTGAAATGCAAATTTCCTGGTCCCATCTCAGACCAACCGAATCAGAATCTCCAGGGATGGAATCCCAGATTTTGTCCCAATGATTCTTAGGCACACAAAAGTTTTAAAACTAATGCTGCTTTATGTTTACATAGTTATCATGTTTCTTTTTTATTTTGCTCAAGCTTAACACAGGTAACAGAAGACATTCCATAAGCTTTGATAGCGTAGGTGACTTAACACTCCTCCCACTCTGAGACCAGTTTATATTTTTCTTCAAGATACAATTCGGAGCTGAGTATCTATTTGCTTTTCCGAAGCCTAGCTAAAAAGAGCCAAGGACGGTTAAGGGAAAGGCTCACCTGGATTATTAAAAAATGTCTGAACTTCGTTTTCTCTTCTGAGATTAAGTTGTCTCCATTAGTCAAGAGGGACAGTCCTCATACTATTTTTCTTCCAGATTTGGGAATGTGAGTATTACTTTCTCAGGAATTCTGGAGGTTGGGGGTAACGATGGACAATGACGTAAACTGCTGCTCTCTGCTCCAACCCCGCACAGAATTACACTACAGAGCTGTTGTTAGTTCGGCAACACCCAAACACAAGTGGACTGACCATAATGCTTGAGAAGTACTTTAAGGTCCAAGAACAGTAACACTTGAGTGCCAGACTGAGAAGGAGGGGTGAAGTGTTAGCACTGCTTGGGTTAAGAAGTCATTAGAAAGTGAACATACTATTTGATACCAACAATTTTTACAAAACAAAATTTCCTAAACAGTTATCACGTGAAATGCTCTAGCATAGATTTAATTCCACAGTAGAGGGGTTCCTTTTACATCAGCTTAGTAAGATTTATTTTCACAATGCTATGGTAGTAAGCCCCTAAACTTTACAATCCCTCGCGTTTCTCTCAAGAGATATTTTTTAAAGCCTCAGTGTTGAATATCATCAAACCATGCTTAAAAATTCTGCAGGCTGGTTTTAAAAACTGAATTAAAATTATGACAATGATAAAATGCCAACCAATTGAGGTCCCAAACTAACAACATTCAAAACAAGTTAGAATTATTATTGGAATCCTGTTATATTTTTGACAACGATAAAGGCTGACCAACTGCTGTCATTAATGCCATAAAGAATGTATTTATATTCTGAAAATGTATCTGTCTTGCACAACTTGACACTGAGGTATAAAGCCATGTTTTGCCAACATTTTTTTTTTATTAATCTAACAAGTAATTTCTTCCACAACAGCGACTGTGGTAAGAACTCCAATAATAGTAGCCAACCGACTGTAATGTTCAATGGTCTTCTACTTAATATAGTACATAAATATTTATAAACTACATAGCCACACCAATTTGTAAGCAACTAATAAATTCTGAAATGTTAGAAATATAATAAAACTAATTCTAAATAGTTTCTTTTTAACTTTCCCCTTTTCCTTGTTTATATTCATGCTTCCCACTAATTTTTTCACTAGACTCTACTAAATCCTAGATTTAAATAGGGTCAAAGATAAAACAATATTGAGATGAGTGTCAAGAACATCACACACTGAGTTTTATCAGTGTCCAAGCCACTTAAAGCTATTCTCCAAAAGACAAGTTATTCAGCCAAGACAAACATGAAACAAGTTAAAATTTAATTTTAAGTTTTTCGGGGCTGACCTGTCAGATATATGGGAACATCCGAGGCTCGAGTATGGAAGGTCTAAATGCCAAAATGTTAATCTGTCACTAGTGGAATGGCCATCTGCTGAAGAAGGGCCCTATGCATGCTGAGCACTGTGTTCAATGTGCAGAAGACAGATACTTGTTTTGGGCTTCTACAAATAAATGAAAGTAATGAGGCTTTAAGCCTGACTAGCCTTATAAAATAGTATACCAGTAACCTCTAAGTAACTTCCAGCTTAACCTCTATTGACTCTTGCCACTATATCAACTTAGGTTAACAGTTCTGCAGTCCTAATTAAAAAGAAAAGTCGTAAAATCAATTTTCTGCAGTGAATTATCAGACTACCTTCCTGTTTACTAGAGATTATAGTATGTTCCACCTTGAGGCTGTAAAATCATGAATACCAGACATTAATTCAACAAATATTTAGTGACAAATGAAGTATACCATTGTGCTAAGTGTTTGGTAGACCAAATGTTGAATTGTTTCATAATTTTTCCTTAAATCCCTTTATTTCTAGCAACAAATCTAGATCTACCTTTTCTATTCCCATATGGACGCTAAAATATGTTAAGATTGCTGATATATGACTATTTTTCTACATTATGACCCTATTTCTGCTAAATTACCTTTATAGTCCAGCAGTTTAAGTTTTTTCCATTAAAAAAAAAATATCTTTTTAGAACTCTGAAAAGATATTAAATTCACTGAATAAAAAACTTTCTAACTTTGTTCCTTAAATATAATAAAATTCTGATATATGATGTTAAACAAGTTAAACTATTAGACAAGTACTCTCTACTCACCTAAAATTAATGGTGTAAAGAGATTTAACTGATCTTTCAAGGGAACTGAGTTTCAACTACCCTAAAAATGGTAAGTGACTTATTATTTGTGTATAAAACTAAAGTATGTTCCTTATGAAATTATCTGTAAGTCAAAAACAAAAATTGAGGAAGACAACTTTTAAATATAATGTTAATAGGTACGCTGGGCAATAAATTCAAACTTTTTAACTTACATCTGCTTAGTTTTTTATTGAGTTAAGTATAAAGGCCCAGTTAATCAACTCATTAGATTGGTCAAGGCAAGACATTTGAACTACATAACAGTATTTAAAAAGCAGTTGGTCTTTTAGTAATTCTCTGGTAATCACACACGCACACACGCACATACACACAAATTGGTAGAGTACTCTGGATATAGGATTTCCCCCCATAATCTCCTATAATGCACTGTTCACAATCTGCAGTATTTTGAAAACTATAAATTGGAAATGACCAAATTAAAGATGCCTGATAAACTCTTATAAAGTATTTGGGAACTTCAGCTATATTCCCAAAAAGATCAATTTTAAACTATAAAAAAGGAAAATCCATATAAAATCACAACAGATTTAACAGACATCTTTGAAAAGAAAGTCAAATTGTAACTCCATTTTCTACTTTTCCAAATATGACTAAGGAAAAAATGGTACAAGTGGTAATGTCTACATTTTTTAAAAACTGTTAACTGAGTGGATTTGGGGAAGAAAAAAAAGCTATACAGTATTATTGCACTCCACGAATGTGCAGAATTCCAAAATGTGCCAGCACTGAAAAACTGTCTTGCATTGAGGTTTTTCAAGAGGTACAACGAGCCTGCCAAAAAAGCATCTGGTCTGTACTAACAGCTTGCTGTCTTCAGTACAGGCCTTCATAATGTCAGTCACGCTGCTCTTGCAAAAAATCCCTTAATGTCTGAAAGAGAAAAAAGAATATTTTATTTCAAAATTCACTCTTATAAAATCAACTCATTGATAAGAACTGAGAACATCTCCGGTACGCAAAAGTTAACTAACATCCACCTCTCTGTGTTCACACACACTTGCTTATAATTTTCTATCTCGAGAATGTTAAAAGATTCTGCATACTCTTAGAAACTAGTTATCTGCAAGTAAAGAGAAGTTATGTATATAAATATTCTAGAATAATATACCAACTCTGACTATTAGGAGTTCCAGTCAAAAAAATGATGTTATGGGCCCAGGTTATTAAGCCTTGAAGATAAAATTAGTAGCATAACCTTACCTTGTTTTGGCAGGTCCAAATGCTCTTATCACTTCATAAATTTTAATAAAGAAAACATCCATCTATTACATCTTAAATTGGGAACTCAAATGGTAATATATGGAATATCTAGTATCTTGCTGATTTGTGATGAGAATGATACCTATAACTGCTTACTGTATTTTTAAACTACTTACAAAAGAGTTTTCAGTGCTGATAGGTGGGGCTATGATCTATGATGTGGGATTGAATCCATATGCACATTAAGCTTCATTTCATTGTCAAGAATTTGAACAAGCTGTTGCATGGATGGGAGGTGACCAGATTCCAGCTTAGACCACACAGGCACATCTATAATAAAAATAAAAATAAATAGTAACCCCTTAAAATTAAAGATGATTCTATAATAAATGTTTATTCCACAAATACTTATTGTCTATATACAGTTGGGGATACAGTAGTGAACCAGAGAGTTACCCTTCTTGCTGCTATGGTGTTTACATTCTAATAGGGGAGACACAAAAAGCACTATACATATAGCTAGAAATCACAACTGTGCACTAAGAGTTAAAACTAGAAGATGCTGAGGGATATAAGAGGCTAGAAAAGAGCCTTATTATTATTAAAAGTGAGAGATATCACTAAAATTGAGAAATACTGTCATTAAAAGTGAGAGCTGAAATACAGGAGAAGAGGGGTAGAACGGAAGCTGGAGAGGTGAGCAGGGAGTAGATCAGGGTCAACAAACTATAAAGCACCAGACAGTAAGCATTTTCAGCTTGGGAAGACATACAGTCCATCACAGCTACTCAATTCTAATTGTAGTCTGAAAGAAACAACAGGCAATACATAAGTGAGTGGGCACGGCTGTGTTCCAATAAAATTTTATTTAAAAAAAAAGGCAGCTGAACATAGGGTCCACATGGCCGTGGTTTGCCAACATCAAGACTACATCAAGCAGGGCCTTTTGGGTGTATTAAATGTTCTGGTCTTTATCTTGAGGACAAAGTAAAGCTACTTAATGAACTTGAGGCAGTGAAGCAACGAGATGGAAATGATTTGCATTGAAAAAAAAAAAAGCACTGTACTGTTTGGAGCTGATTATCAGCAGATTTTTCTGTAAGAAACCAGGTAATAAATATTTTAGGCTTTACGGCTCAACAGAAAATCAACGATACCACATAGGTACTTACATAACCAGAGAAATAAATTTCCCCAAATTTTTCATTGATGAAACTCAAAATTTGAGGTATAAACAATAAAATTTGAATTTTATATAATTTCCATGTGCCATAAAATAGTCTTTTGATTTTTGTGTAACCATTAAAAAATTTTTTAAAATACTGGTAACTCACAGGCCATTTTGGACAACCTCTGTTTTAGAGAATGTATTAGAGGGTAACAAAATCATTGTGACTTGGACTAGGGTAATCGTGATAAATATAAACAGGAGTAGAACTCTGAGAAATGTAGAAGGTAGAATTAAGAATCAGACTTGGTGAACCATTAGATATGGAGAGTAAGGGAGAAACTGAGGTTATCCTAGCTTTCTGACATGGGCAACTGGGTAGAATGATAATGGTGCCATTATAAATAAATAAGCAATGCCAGGGCAAAAGCAAACTGTAGTACACAAGACTTGCAGGAAGCAGAGGTAATCAACAGTCTGGGAGTAGCATAAGATTCCTGGGTATTGCACCTAGGAGAGATCTAGAGCTCTCTAGAGTTATACATTCAGGGGTCATCATATGGATATAATTCTCAAGCTACAGAAGGTGAGGATCATATAAGGTGATAGTTTTGCATATTATGAAAAACAGAAAAGCCAAATGGTCATTATAAATCATTTAAATATGTTACAGAATGCAAACTATTCAGAACCCACCATTCAAAGTTATCTCAAATGCACCTGTTGACATACACTGGTTCTCAATCATGTTGCTCAAGAAGAAAACCATCATACATGCATAGACCTAAAAGAAAATATAATTAAGTACAGCATACAAAGTTATTTTAAAGGCAAAACATTACAACTGAAGACACAGTAATCTTTAAAATATAGAGTCTCATTTTTATTTGGTAACAGCTGTTTTTATTTTTATTTTTCAAAATATTTGACTCATTTATTTTTAAGAGAGAGAGAAAGGGTGAGATCATAAGTAGTCAGAGCAGCAGGCAGAGGGAGAGGAAGAAGCAGGCTTCCCGCTGAGCAGGGAGCCTGATGCAGAACTCAATCCCAGGACCCTGGGATCATGACCTGAGCCGAAGGGAGACACTTAACTGACTAAGCCACCCAGACGCCTCCAGTAATAGCTGTTTTTAAATCTACTTTAAAAAGTTTCTATACAGGGGACAGGGGCACCTGGGTGGCTCAGCCAGTTAAGCATTTGACTCTTAGTTTCATCTCAGGTCATGATCTCAGGGTCACGGTATCGAGCCTCACGTCTGGCTCTGTGCTCAGTGCAGACTGTCTGAGATTGCCCTCCCTCTTCTCCCCCCTACCCCCCACTCCTTACCCTGCTTTCACTCTCTCTAATAAATAAATAAAATCTTTTAAAAAAAAGTTTCTATACAGACTCTTATTGCCATTCTATATGTTCAAATAACATACACAGAACAAGGAAAATGCAACATTAATTCATAACTTTATACACACTGAACAATATATATTCATAATGCAGAGATAGAATTTCTAGAAATTTCATAATAGCCTTAATAAGTTAAACAAAAGAACACAGCATAAGAAGAGTTCATTTCACTATTTTTCTAATATAAGGCATGAATTCACAAGAGACTAGTGATGCAATAATCAGCAACTCCATGTATTCAATACAACCTGTCCATATTCCAAACAAATTATTTTAAGTCAAATAAGAAAAAAGTAGATTAGAAAGCACTAGCATATTAAATTACATTTGCTCCCCTTTTGAAGGCAAATCTATACTCTTTCAAAGAGACCAGAAGTTCCTTGGTGGACAGACAGGTTTTAACAAAATCACCAGACTAAAAAACAGGAAGCAATGAGGATGTCAATTCACAGCAAGTTATTTCAAAAAAAGTAAATAAAATGCCCATAGCGAGTGAGAAAAAGCTCTCCCCCCAGTCTCACTCACTAGGTGGGCTTGATTTCATAGACGTTACCCTTGCATTTGGAAACATTAAGTATATTTTCATGGGAACAATATATAAGAAGTGTCATCAAAGCTCTAGCTTTCAAGTACATTCCTCTTCCACAGTAGATTAATAATGTTACATGTCTTCACAAGTAAAATGCACTAAAGCTGGAAACAACAGAATGAATAATGTAACACAAAACATCATGAATACTTAACTTTCAATTCTTAATCTTGTACATATCAATCTTAATAATAATGGCTAGAGACACAGTTCAATAAGAGGTAGCACCTGAGACTTTTATGTTAAGAAGTCTTGCCTGTTACTAGAAATAAGTGGTTCCCTTAGAAAAAGAAGCAGAGATATGTAGGAGTCCACTAAAGGTGGTTTGAGCCTAGAACTAAAGAACAAGACCAGATAGATAGAGGACTCCAAAACAGAATTCTCCTTAGAAGGAAACCTAAGCAATCTCATCCAAGAGAGAAATACAATTAGTACCACTCCTCAAAGCAGAAAGACCCTCTAGAAAAGATGATTTTAAGTAAAACAAATTAAAGAAATCTAAAAAAAATGCATGCCACAGCAAGACCCTACAAAAGAAAAAAGAATTAGCACAATTCATATATATACATATATACATATATATAGAGAGATTAACAGAAGAGTCAAAGGACAAATAATAAAAACAGAAAATTTTAATAAAAACAAATCCATGGAAATGTCATTTTTAATGTGAATAAAGCCATTAATTAAAAGGCCTACATTATATGTGTGTTATATTCTGTTGGATATGATTTGACCTAATCTATATAATCAATATCAGGTATTAAATTATTTTGTGCCCAGTTTCTACTAAAGTTATACCTCCTTATCCTTCAAATAGTTAAAAGAAAAAAATAAGACCTAATCATTCCTAATATATAATTATAAAATCTAAGGCCAAGAAAAAAAATCACAAAAAACTAAGGTCAAGAAAGGCTAAGTGCCATGCCCAAAGATTAAAAAGTGATTGAAGCTGAAATAATACAAGTGAAGAGGTGAATCAGCAACAAGTACTTAGAAAACCAAACAAACAAGCCATTGAAATATTTTCACTGACAACCTAAAAAATGTGCAACTATCAAAACTATTAGGTTACATACCTTATTTTCTTGGCCCCACTGCCAGATGCTAGGAGCTTGCATGCCAAAGAAAGCAAAAGGATCCTTGCCAACAATTATTAAGCCTATTAATACTAGTTTGAAGACTGACAGGAAAGATGCTATGTGTCTATTGAAAGAAAAAAGAAATTCATCAGAAGCCATAATTTTTCACCTAACTCAACTTTAAGACACTATTTAAGACACAACAAAACTTTAAGACACTGTTGAAAAAAATTGAAGACACAAATAAATGTAACTCAAAACTCAAGTATATGTGCATAGACATTTTCTAGACACCAAATCTAAAGGTTACTAAATTATAAGTAGTGAAAAAGATAGTAACTAAAGTTTAATGTGGAGATTTAAAACAAAAATGTTTTATTATAACTTGCAAAATTATATAGCATTAGGCTTTAAAAATATTTATTTTAACAGTACAGAATTTTATACCACTGACTCTATATAAAAATTCAGGAGTTCTTGGTCTATTTCTGCAATAAAAATTATGTAAGAAAACATATCCTTAGAAGGTTACCATCTCTGAAATAATCCTTCTTTCTTCCTTCTTAACAAAAAAATTCTTCCATATTTGGATCAAATAAACTTGATACTTATAAAACAGTGTTCTCTGTTTATTGTAACCAACTAAGAAATTATAATAACCAAGAAAAGTTAACTGAACCAATTCCCAAAAGTTTACTCAAAGGTGAAAAAAATTCACTTTAAAAATTCCTTTTAAGTTACTGAAATTTACTTACCTATATATGGGTTGAGGGAGGTAATTTTCTCCTTCAATGCGGATGTCTGGGTACCGCTGGCTTATAACCCGCATGTACTCCTCAAACACCCGCCTATAACCTCAGGAAACACTGCAGAAAAATAAAAGTGCTTCTGTTAATCAATTTAGAATATGCCTACACTTACTTTACATTTAGACAAAGCCTGAAAATTGCCAAGTATAAAAAAGCTTTGTCACTGTTTCCCAAGAACAGTGACAAAGTAATAACAACTGATGCTGGATAATGGCAACACGGAGGTTTATTCACAAATTTCATGTATATCCATCTATTAGAACATTAAACTTTATAGATTTGGGTCATTGTTGGGCAGCAGCAAATACCTATTCATATATGGCAGCATATTTTGAGCTCTCAAATCAACCTGCTTTTTGTGGGGCTATCAATGAGTATAAATACTGAAACGAAAACAACTCTTATACATCTGAAATAGGGACTTTCAAAACTGGGGCATAGGAAGCTTAAAAAATACGAAGGCATGAGACATGAAACTGGTTCTTGTTCCTACTCTGCCCCTAAGTGGGCAAACATGCCTGCTCAATCACAATAAAAGGAACTTAAAAAACTCTTTTTAAGTTCTGACTTAAAATTTGCTTCTACTTCGCAAAGGAAAACAAACATTGGGAAGATAATTTTCAGCAGTATGACAGCGATCCATAACAGTACTAAAGAAATTAAGTCAACAGCATCAACTATCTCCATTAAAATTTCTGAACAACTATGCTGTGGATATATGTTTCCCCAGCAAGAAAAGGGGAAAAGGCCACCAGAGTGCACCTGTAGGGGGAGGCATACACTGAAAACTTTTAAAAAAATTGAAGACACAAATAAATGAAAGATATCTCGTGTTCACAGATCAGAACTGATATTGTGAAAATGTCCACACTACCAAACACAATTTACAGATTCAGTGCAATCTCTATCAAAACTCCAATGGCGTTTTTCACAGAAGTAGAACAAATAATCCTACAATTTGTACGGAACTATAAAAATCCCGGAATAGTCCAAACAATCTTGAGAAGGAAGAAAAAGCTGGAGGCACCATGCTGCCTTACGTCAAACTACATTACAAAGCTATAGTGATCAAAATTGTATAGTAGCCCAAAAACAGACACATAGATCAGTGTGGGGCAGAATCAAGAGGGCAGAAATAAACCCACACAAATATGGCCAATTAATTTAAAACAAAGGAGCCAAAACTGAAGAAAGGCAAGTCTCTTTAACAAATGGTGTTGGGAAAACTGTCAACAACATGAAAAGAATGAAAAATGGACTAACTATCTCCCATCATACATAAAAATGAACTCAAAATGGATTAAAGACTTGAACCTAACACCTGAAACCATAAGCCTTCTAGAAGAAAACACAGTGGGTAATAAGCCCCTTGACATTAGTCTTGGCAATGATTTTGTGGATTAGACCATAAAAGGTATCAAAAGCAAAATAAACAAGTGGGACTACATCAAACTAAAAAGCTTCTGCACAGCAAAGGAAGCCATCAACAAAATGAACAGGCAACCTACAGAATGAGAGAAAATATTTGCACATCAGATATCTGATAAAGGGGTTAATATCCAAAACATATAAGGAATTCATATAATTCAGTAGCCAAAAGTCAATAATCTGACTAAACATGGGCAAAAGGACCAGAACAGATACTTTTCCAAAGATGACATAAAAATAGCCAACAGAGGGGCACCTGGGTGGCTCAGCGGGTTAAAGCCTCTGCCTTCGGCTCAGGTCACGATCCCAGGCTCCTGGGATCGAGCCCCACATCGGGCTCTCTGTTCAGCAGGGAGCCTGCTTCCTCCTCTCTCTCTGCCTGCTTCTCTGCCTACTTGTGATCTCTGTCTGTCAAATAAATAAATAAAATCTTAAAAAAAAAAATAGCCAACAGATACATGAGAAGGTGCTCCACATCACTAATCAACAGGGAAATGCAAACCAAAACACAGAGAGTACATCCCCATACCTGTTAGGATGCCTGTCATCAAAAAGACAAAAGAAATAGTATGTGTTGGCAAGGATGTCGACAAATGGTAATCCTTGTGCACTGTTGGTGGGAATGTAAATGGAGCAACCACTAGGAAAACATTTTAGAAGTTCCCCAAAAAATTAAACATAGAACTACCATATGATCTAGAAATTCCACTTCTAGATATACCCGGAAGGAAATGAAATCAATCTCTTCAAGAGGTATCTGTACCGTCATGTTCATTTTAGCATTACTTAAAATAGCCAAGACATGGAAACAACTTAAACAAATGTCCATCGACAGATGAATGGATAAAGAAAATGTGGTATAAATATACATAGGGATATTACTCAGAAAAAAAAAAAAATCCTACCATTTGCAACAATATGGATGAAACTTGAAGGCATTATGCTAAGTGAAATAAGTAAGACAGAGAAACACAAATCGTATCTCATTTTACACAGAATCTTAAGAAAGCCAAGCTCAGAGGCATGGGAAGTAGACTGGTGGTTGTCAGGGGCTGTGGAAGAGGCAAAATGAGGAGATGCTGGTGGAAGGATACAAACCTCCAGTTATAAAACAAATTCTAGGAATCTACTTTACAGCAAGGTGACTGTAGCTAACAATACTGTTTTATATACTTGGAAGTTGCTTAGAGAATAAATATTAAATGTTCTCACCCAATTAAAAAAGCTAATTATATGACTGTGAGTGGGCACATATGGACGTCTTAACTAACCTCACTGTGGTAATCATTTCACAATATACATGTATATGAAATCATCACCTTAACTACACATAATTTCTTTTGTCAATCATAGTTCAATAATGCTGAGAGAAAAAAAGGAGGTGGTACTACCAAATCAAGAGAAGAACTTACAAATTCAGGTAAGAGTGTTAAGCACTTAACTGCATTATAGTCTAAGTCAAGGAACACATAAAGCAAGGAAAGTACAGAGGAAGCAGAATCAATAATTAAGTAACAGTAATGTAAAACCTAAGGTGACAACTTTGTCAATCACACTGTCATCAAGGAGAAACATACCAACTACCAGGATCAGGTTTATATCTGGAAGGGTATAACAGTCCAAATATTAGTAGATCTCAATTTTTTAAAAAGATTTTATTTATTTATTTATTTATTTATTTGAGAGAGAGAGAAAATGAGAGAGAGAGAAAAAAAGAGAGCATGAGTGGAGAAAGGTCAGCGGGACAAGCAGACTCCTGGCCGAGCAGGGAGCCGGATGTGGGACTCATCCGATCTGGGGACTCCAGGATCAAGACCTGAGCCGAAGGCAGTCGCTTAACCAACTGAGCCACCCAGGTGCCCCAGTAGATCTCAGTTTAAGAAAAAACTCACTTGGGGCCCCTGGTGGTTCAATGGGTTAAAGCCTCTGCCTTCAGTTCAGGTCATGGTCCTGGGATCGAGCCCAACATCAGGATCTCTGCTCTGCAGGGAGCCTGCTTCCTCCTCTCTCTCTCTCTCTCTCTCTCTCTTTGCCTGCCTCTCTGCCTACTTGTGATCTCTGTCAAATAAATAAATAAAATCTAAAAAAAAAAAAAGAAAAGAAAATTTAAAAAAAGAAAAAACTCACTTTTCAGGGGAAAAAAAGAGAGAAAGAAAGTCAGTCACCAGTTTTCTTTACAATTAATACTTCCTCCACATTTAGAATAAAAATTTCACAAGAGATTAAGTCCCTATAAAGTATGAAATTTTTGCAAAGGGCAACAAATCTCTACAGCTAAATACTTAAAATAATTTACGCTCTACATACTTTATGTTTAGTAAACATTCACCTTATTTAGTATTTTATTATTACTGTTGTTAGAGTCACCAAATTATACTATTTTGTCACGGCTGCTTTCTCTATAAGAAAATTCTGGGGGCGCCTGGGTGGCTCAGTGGGTTAAAGCCTCTGCCTTCAACTCAGGTCATGATCCCAGGGTCCTGGGACAGAGCCCAGCATCAGGCTCTCTGCTCAGCAGGGAGCCTGCTTCCTTCTCCCTCTCTCTGCCCGCCTCTCTGCCTACTTGTGATCTCTGTCTGTCAAATAAATAAATAAAATCTTTAAAAAAAAAAAAAAAGAAAAATTTTAATGTTGCTTTTGAGGATATTACAAAAAATACCTATATGCCTAACTACCATGAAACCAAGAAATGGCAACTGATTTCAATACCCTCAAGTCTGCATCAGTGTTTACACGGAATTAATTATCTAAAATGACATTCTCTTTTATTTTTTTTAATTTTTAATTATTTTTACTCACATATAATGTACTATTTGCCCTAGGGATATTCTCTAACTTTTAATGAAACATCGTGAGAGTTGGAGACAAAATTAATTGAGCTGAAACTTTTTTTTAATAGATGAAGGGGAAAATATGAAACCCAAAGAGATGAAGTGACTTTCCATGGTTATACATCCATATGTACTATTTATTAATTCACTCACTCAAATACTTACTAAACGCCTACTACATGTCAAGCACTATGTTAGACATTGGGTATGTAGAGATGAGTGACACAGATGCTGTCTTTAGTCAGGGCTGAGAGACATGGGCTTTGTGATTTGAGATCCTAGCCCTTTCCACTAGACCCAAATAAAAGAGTTGATGATGTAAGAGTTATTCTCCCCTCTGTCCAGGAACTAAGTTCCCTTTGGTCAAAATGCCACAAGCAAGTACCCATATAGTTGACCTCTTGATGGCAGAGATGTCTGAGGTTTTTCCATGATGAACATCTAGAGATTCTCCCTCTGGGAGAACTAAAACCTGTGGGGCTCCAAAAGTCCCTCATATTTGCTCTGCGAGTGCCAATCTGTTGCCAAGGGAAGCCCAAAGAAGCCCAGCTAGAGAGGTACCCATGTGCAGGCAACACTTCCGGTCAGATTCCTCCTAGTCACCTACTTTTCTGGCTACTGTGCTCAGAATCCTAGCTCTATCCTCTGTCCTCCCAGTCCCAAGTCTTCGGTATGGTCTCAGACCTTTGGATCGAACTCCAAATGGAGTTAGCCCATAATCTTGAAATCCAAAAAGGACTTTAAAACTGTATTTTTTTTTCAAATTTCCAGTTATAAAACATGTAAGTCATGAGGATG